CATGTATATTTATTTATTCCTTGTAATACGGACATAATACTACGCATTCGTTACATGAAAACGACATTTTACAGCGTGTTACATAGTTTTGACTATTCCAAAAATGATCATTGAAAGCAGTTCTGTAAGTATTTGTCCAATAATAGTCGTCATATTGACATTTAGGCTGTTTCTGCTTTTTTCATATTTCGTTTAATTTTGACACTGACTCGAAATAAAATTTAAATTAGGGTTTTGTCCTTTAATCAATTACTACTTTTCAATGACACTGCGTCTCTAAATTATCATAAGACAGTCCATGATAATTATTTTAATAGCATATAGGCAAAATATGATTAATTATAAATCAATTAACACCCTGCAGCAGAAATGTTACCTGAATGAACATCCAGTTCCTCGAGACCCGCCTCTTCTGCCTGGGGCCATTTAAATGTCAAGGTAAAGGTGCTAATTATATAATCTTGTATACACATAGCCACTTCGAGGTATCGAGGGTAAATTCTATTAGAATATGCATAGTGGGACTGCATTTTGACTTCGAGGGATCAAGGGTTTCGAGAGATCAAGAGTTCGAGAAATCAAGAGTAAATTTGCTTAGTTATATAGTGGAAAAATTTGGGACCAAGCGATCAAGAACTTCGAGAGATCGAAGTTCGAGCCATCAAGAGTTACCTGTAGTTGTTCATAAAATAATTTTGTTTCCTTTAAGAATTCTGATTGGTCATAAATAACATTACCATAATTATCCTCCAATCTAGGTATAATTTTACTAGTAAAATTTCTAGATTCTAATGTGCAAAAATAGTGTGATGGTTTTTCACCTTCCTCAACCCATTTTGCTCTACTTCTGATATAAGTACCTTGCAATTTAAGTTTTCTAATTTTCTCTAATTCTTGTTTTTTACTATATAATTCATCAATATTATTTTCACAAACATTTTCTTCCAACAATTTAATACTTTCTATTAAGTCTCTCTCCCTGTTTTCTCTTTTCTTTTTGATATATGATGCATAGGAAATAGTCTTACCTCTTATTTCTAAAAGCAGAGTTTCTAAAAATAGCTGATCATTAACAGTGAAAGAAATATTTGTGTCTGGAATATTACCTATGTTGTCAAAGTTATACACTGGGATTGCATATTGTTTCTTAACCTCTAAAATAACATTTTTAATACAATCACTGCATAGCAAAACAGACAAGCTTATTATATGTACATGACTTCAATATAGACTGTAGCTCAACATATTTCAGAATTCCCCCTATTTTTATTGAAAATCTGAGAATTTATTTTAAAAATCTTGTTTATAAAACGTGTTCTTTATCGAAATCTTCTAAATTCACAAAGTTTCAGCACAAAGTTACAGCATTCGCGTGTAACTTGCCTTTTTGTCAGAACCTCTAAAATAACATTTTTAATGCAATCACTGCATAGCAAAACAGATAAGCTTATTATATGTACATGACTTCAATATAGACTGTAGCTCAACATATTTCAGAATTCCCCCTATTTTTATTGAAAATCTGAGAATTTATTTTAAAAATCTTGTTTATAAAACGTGTTCTTTATCGAAATCTTCTAAATTCACAAAGTTTCAGCACAAAGTTACAGCATTCGCGTGTAACTTGCCTTTTTGTCAGAACAGGATACGAAATGCGCTCTATAAACTTCGAACCATATAAAGTCGACATCCGATATACGGAGAAAAATTAAATGCGGATTATTTTATTTCTTATTTCATTCAGGAAGAATGTACATTAAAATTAATTTTTTAAGAGATTTGTGTATCTAAACTAACGTAGTGATGTTACAGATGCATGAATTATGGCTGATTCGGGTACCTTTTTCAAATTTAAAAGTTAGTTTGGTTTCGATATCAATAACCGTCTGTACATTTGCGCAGAATCATGTAGATTTAGCAATGATATTACCCAAGCTGAAGATTAAGGAGGTAACTTCTCAAAGACGCCGAGGGGGCTTGGGATTCACCTACAAACACAATCTATAGAATTAATTAAGCAGCGTGGAGTCAAAATATGGGCCAGTGTGTATGGTGTGAAATGTTGATGACGTCGAGATACCCGGAGTCGTCCGTGCGTGACGAGCTACCTTATCTGACAAACAGTTAGGTTCAGTATAGCAGAAAATTGCCGATGTCGACATATACCAGGTAAATTTTGCTTTTAGGACTGTGAATATACGTCGAGATAACCCGGGTTGTCGACATTACCGAGGTCGACATATCAGAGTTTTTGCAAATCATTTATATAGTAAATACTGCCGGGACTGCGGAAGGACGTCGACATATCCCAGGTTGTCGACATATCCGATGTTGAGATACCGAAGTTTACCTGCAGATAATTTTCGTCATGAAGTAAAGAATTATTAAACTTCCATAACCCCCTACCTTTCTTAAAATCATTAAAAGCTATAGATAAGGATATTATGGAGTGGTCTGATCTATAACTAGCATCTATAGTGCACTTTTCTAATCCAGACATGAGGGTTTCAGATATTAAAAAGAAATCTAGACGGCTTTGCTTCAATGGAGTTTTCCTTCTCCATGAATATCTATGCTCATTTTCATGCAGCTGTCTGAAAGGGTCAACATAACCATTATTTTCTATTATTTCCAAAACTTTTTCTCTTGCCTTTGGATTATTTATAGATTTGTAATTATAATAGTCCAAGTCAGGATTTAAAACTAGGTTGAAATCGCCACACAAAATAATATTACTACACTGCATATCATCAATATATTTTTGTAAATTTTCAAAGAAAAGTGGTTTGTCATTATTTGGACCATAAATATTACATATCAATACTTCATGGCCCTCTATATAAGCTTTAAGTAAAATATAATTCCCATCAACATCACCCTTTTCTGAAAGAGGTTTAAAATCAAAGTTATTGTTAACTAGAATTGCCACTCCCCTAGAGTTTGTGGAGTATGAGCTGAAAAAACACTGGTATCCCCACAAATTTCTTACTTCGTTTTCAACATCACATGAAAAGTGTGTATCTTGTAAACAATAAATATTATATTTTAAGGCTCTTAAGTAATTAAAAACATCCTTGCGCTTTGCAATATCACCTAAACCTTGGCAGTTCACTGAAATAATTTTAACCATTTCAAATAATTACAAGATGTTTACGAGTTGATACCCACTATGGAAACAAACAATCGGAGCTCATGTTGAAACTTAAAAGTAAATAGAGAGAAAGAAGGAAGGTTCTTGAGAAGAAGATTTTTACAGAATTTTCCTATATATTTCAATGTAAAACTTGGATTCCCTATTGTGGCCCCACCCTACCCCCGGGGGTCATGATTTTAACAATTTAGAATCTACACTATTCCAGGATGCTTCCACGTAAGTTTCAGCTTTTTGGCCCAGTGGTTCTTGTGAAGATTTTTTATATATTTTTATATATTTTTTTATATATTTTATATATTTTTTACCCCACCCTATTTTTGTCTTTTCTTGATTTTCTCCCCTTGTAAGGGGACTTGGCCCTTTATTTTATCAATTAAACTCCCCTTCATCCAAGGATACTTTGTACCAAGTTTGGTTAAAATTGGCCCAGTGGTTCTTGAGAAGAAGTTGAAAATGTTGAAAGTTTACAGATGGACGGACGGACAGATGGACGGACGATGGACAATGGGTGATCAGAAAAGCTCAGGTGAGCTGAAAAATAAGGAAACTGTGAAACATCTCTAAGATATCACAGAAATTGATATTGTTTTGATGCAAGGTCATTGTGCACTGTCACCATAAACAGAAACTGAGTCTGAAATAATTTACAATCATGTTTGTTTGAAAATATATTATGACAGATAACTGCGAAGGATAGACGGGGTAAGATACACATTGCCTTCATTTTAATCATTTAACAGAAGCTTTAATTAATATCATTATTAAAGAAATTTAGGACAGGCTGGGTAATGACATGGTATTTAAACAGCAATTAACACTTTGTAAAGTGACCAATTACCCCAACGAATTCAATCTTGAGAGTGGTAATTAAATTATTTACCTCCAAATCAGCCAAATTAAATGTGCTTTATAACTATATATAATCAATATTCAGGGTTGTCTAACATTGTAAATCGTGTTTTAGGGAAATTTTCTTCTATTTTAATTTTTTTCCAACTAACCAATTACAGATTTTCTAACTGATTACCATCGTTCCGACCGAGTAACCGGTTAACAATTGCCATCCCTAATATTCATGTAAAACTTTGATCATTCATAGTGGCCCCACCCTACCCCACGGGTAATGATTTGAATAAACTTGAATTTACACTATGTCAGGAGGGTATCACATAAATTTCATCTTTTCTGGCCCAGTGGTTCTTGAGAAGATTTTTAAATGACCCCACCCAATTTTTATGTTTTCTTAATTATCTCCCCTTGGAAGAGTAGTTGGCCCTTCATTTAAAGAAACTTGAATCCCTTTTACCCAAGAATTCTCTGTGCCAGGTTAGGTTGAAATTGGCCCAGTGGTTCTGGAGAAGATGAAACTGTAAAAATTTTGATCAGAAAAACTCAGGAGAGCCTTCAGCTCAGATGAGCTAAAAACTTTATATATGCAACTTTACTATATGATCAATAAAGCCCCACCCTAACTCCAGAATCTGTGACTCCAGGACCATGAATTTCACAATTTTATTAGCAGTCTCAATGATGATAACAATCATGCCAATTGTTTGACTGATATGAGAAAAGAAAGAGTGAAGAAGATTTTTATAGATACACTGTAACATAAATTTTGATTTAAACCTTACATCTGAGACTCCAGGGAAGCAGGGACTATAAAACTCACAATTTTGCACTCCTTTATCCATACATGCTATATGCCCAAAGTGGTTGAATTTGGTTCAGTGTTCCAGTGAAGAAGCTGAATATGTTCAACTGCTATCATATGTCACATGATTGATGACAAGCAAACACAGATAGTAATAGGTCACCTGAGTGATTTAGGTGACCTAAAAATTCCTACCTAAAACGTTGATGTAAACATCAGAAAACAGAGATCCATGAGTATTGGTAGCATTGCACTGAACAACCATAGACTCCTTTTTAGTGAGGCTACTGACATGTAGAATATTATCTTGGAGTTGTCGTTTGCCAGGAATTTCTAATAATGATAAAAAAGAACGTTATATAAACATAAACATGACATAAACAGGATACATAGCTTAACTTTTGTGCATTTCAAAAAAGAGAAAGAGGATCAAGGGCATTAATGGTCACCTAAGTTATTAATACAACACCATTAAGGATTTATAGAAGTATAAAATAAATAGACTTATAGATGAAACTATGCTGCCCAAAAACAAAAGAAATACAGTGATCAGGGATCAACAAAATAATTATTCTAAAGCTCTGGATTAAATCTTTATCATATCTTTAGGTCTATTTACTTGCCTGTATTTGCTTCCATTTGACATGTTCACCATGTAGCCAAACAAAACAATAGTGCTTAAGTGTGTTCATACTAAATAAGTTTTACTGTATTTAGTTATTCTATAAATGAAATGTTGTTTTTCATAGCATCATCATGATTCAAAATTCAGTCAGTGATTGTTAACTAATTTTTATACACGTGTGAGAAACACCTGCGAGATCTGTGAGCATCTCAAGCTCACTGATATTTGTTGCCACAAACTAGTCATGTTAATTTTGTATTCATTTGCATGCAGGACAGTGATGGATGACAATGAAAAGGGTGAAGATAACGAACACTGATCAATCTAAAGAAATCCACAAACGATACAAATTTGTGAAGAGGGATTAAACATGGGCCCCTGGAAATTTTAGAGGTGGGATCAGGTGCCTAGGAAAGGTAAGCATCCCCTGTCAACAGGTCACACCTGCCATGAAGTCTTCATAATACAGTGTACATTTTCAGAATAGATAAACAACATTGCCTTTTATTCCCAAAATATATATTGTTAGTGACATTCACATACAAGAGGCCCAAGGGTCTTGAATCGCTATTCTGATAAATTGTATAACCTGTCACTTCTATTTGAAGCCTCTAAGTATCCCTTTTATTTAGACAATTCCAAAAGTAGGTTATCATGACCTACATTTTGGATAAAACACTCTGAGAACCCAAGATGCATCAACTGACAAGGTTAAATGATTCGAAGCCCCTTATTATCTAAAATATTCAGATATAACAATGAGATTCCAAAAGTAGGTCATGGTGACGTACTTTTTTGTTAAAATACTCTGCGACCCCAAAATCCCTCAACTGACACAGTTTGATGATTTTAAGACTCTTATTATTTGAAATACTTAAATATTGCCTTGAAATTCTAAAAGTAGGTCATGGTGACCTCCTTTTAAGTTGACACATTCTGGGGACTCAAAATACATCAACTGACAAAGTTTGATGATTCTAAACTGATTAGTACCCAAAATATTTAAATATAGCCAAAAATTTCAAAAAGTAGGTCAATGTGACCAGGGTTGGGGTCGTCAATTACTTTGAAATGTAATTAAATACTTTCAAATACATTGAAAAGTTTGTCAATTACTTGCAATTACAATTACATTGATTTTTACAAATGTAATTAATTACTCTCAATTACTTTGAAGAATGTAATTAAATACGTTTCAATTACTTTTGTTTCATTTTCAAATCTTGAAGATCAAATACATGTAAATTTAAGGTAAATGCCTAATGGGAATATTTAAAATAAATAATGTCAGGTGCCTGCCATGTTTGTGTGTTTCATCAACATAAGACCTAGTCCTACATGTACATTTATCAATTAATTGACTGCCTTTATGAAATTAAATTAAAAGAAAGTTTTCAAGAGTTTATGAATCAACCATAAAATACTCTCAAATTATTTCAGCTACAGGTAGGCAAGCTAAACACCTTTAGTTGCAAATGTTGACAAATAATACTTGTTTTATGTAATAACAATTTCAGATAACAAATGCATACATGTATATAACATGTATACATAAAGATCTGTTTAAATATTAAAATAGTGATTCAATATTTATTTCTTTTCTGAAGTACATGTATAAAAATAGAAGAGCATTAATCTTAATAATATTTAATAAATTACGTCTAATGGTCATAACTTTGAATTTAATCAAAGCATGGTATAAATTTATATAAAATTTTGGAGGGTTGTTTTGATAGCAATCTACAACTGGGAGTTGAAGGGCAAGTAGGCAGGTCTTCATGACACATTAAATTATTTTCTATTCTTTTTTTGATAATCAAGCAACAAAAAAATAATGTTTTCATGTCTATACCAATGAGAGGTAGAACAAAATTTTTGATAAACATTAAACTAGTATTAATTCTTTCTGTACATTTTAATTATAAAACAAATATTTTTTTAAACAAGTCAATATATCAAATTCATTTATTGAGATATAAAAGAGTTTGAATTTTGAAAAAAAAAACAGAAGGGCCTTCTTTGAATAAATTAAAATAACTGTAAAATGTGACAGTTTTGGAATTATTTTCATATTAAATACACTTAATATGTATTATGTAAAATAATTGAAATGTAATTGAAATTACAGGGTATTTTGTTCATTGTAATTAATTATATTCAATTACAAGTAATTGAGAAAATGGTCAATTACAAAATATGGCCAATTACTTTGAAAAATGTAATTAATTACACTCAATTACAATTATACTTTTATCAATTATCCCATCCCTGACAGTGGCCTACTTTTCAGTTGACATATTCTGAATACCCAAGATGCATCAATTGACAAAGTTTGATGATTTGAAGCCAATTAGTACCTGAAATATTTAAATAGCTATAAAATTTTAAAAAGTAGGTCACTGTGACCTACTTTTCAGTTGACATACTCTGAGAACTCAAGATGCATCAACTGACAAAGTTCAATGATCTTAAGCCAATTAGTACGTACCTTGATCATTTAAATATAGCCATAAAATTTCAAAAGTAGGTCACTGTGACCTACTTTTCAGTTGACATACTCTGAGGACCCAAGATGCATCAACCAACAAAGTTCAATGATTTTAAGCCAATTAGTACTTGAAATATTTAAATAAAGCCATAAAATTTCAAAATGTAGGTCATAGTGACCTAATTTTCAGCTGACGTACTCGGAATACCTAATATGCATCAACTGACAAAGTTTGATAATTTGAATCCAATTAGAACCTGAAATATCCAAGGTGGCGAGATATCAGAGTTGAGACTTGACATTCAAGATTTTACTGCATAGCAAAAAAGACAAGCTTATTATATGTACATGACTTCAATACTGACTGTAGCTCAACATATTTCAGAATTCCCTCTATTTTTATTAAAAATCTAAGAAGTTATTTTAAAAATCTTGTTTATCAAACGTGTTCTTTATAGAAGTCTTTCTAAATTCACAAAGTTTCAGCACAAAGTTTCAGCATTCGCACGTAACTTGCCTTTATGTCAGAACAGGATATGAAATGCGCTCTATAAACTTGGAACCGTATAAAGTCGACATCCGATATACGGAAAAAAATTAAAAGCGGATTATTTTTTTCTTTTTTAATTCAGGAAGAATGTACATTAAAATTAATTATTTTTAAGAGATTTGTGCATCTAAACTAACATAGTGATGTTAGATGCATGAATTAGGCTGATTCTGTCAATCATGTCATTAATTGGATTGTTTCCTGTTGAATACATTTTAACTACAAAATATCATTGAAACATTTAATTCCTTAGTTTGAATTATTCAGTGTGTTTGTTATTCATTGTAATTTAGTAACCTTTTTTCAAATTTAAAAGTTATGTTAGGTTTTGATATAAATAACTGTCTGTACATTTCCGCAGAATCGCTATAATTACCCAAGCAGAACATAAGGCAATTAACTTCTCAAAGACACCGAGGGGGCTTCGGATTTACCTACAAACACAGTCTAATTAATTAAGCAGCGTGCAGTCAAAACATGGGTGTGAAAGGTGTGAAATTTTGACGTCGAGATACCCAGAGTTTGTCCGTGCGTGACTAGCAACCCTATCTGACAAAGGTTCAGTAGAGCAGAAAATTGCTGATGTCGACATATACCAGGTACATTTTGCTCTTGGGACTGTGAATATACATTGAGATAACCCGGGTTGTCAACATTACCGAGGTCGACATATTAGAGTTTTTGCAAATCATTTTTATAGTAAATACTGCCGGGACCACGGAAGTACGTCTACATATCCCAGGTTGTCGACATATCCGATGTCGAGATACGGAAGTTTACCTGTATAGCCATAATTTTTTTTTAAAAAGGTCACAGTGACCTACTTTTCAGTTGACATACTCCGAGGACCCAAGATGCATCAACTGACAAAGTTCGATGATTCTAAGCCAATTAGTACCTAAGCTAACAGACAGACAGAATGTCATACCATAATTCTCATTTCTTAAAATGGGTGTATAAAAATTAGGATTATAAAAAATTTTCTTAATATCAAGAAAATTTGATTTTAGAAATATTCTTTTGTTCATTTGGCATATCAAATAAAACAATATCCAGATAGAACCTGGAGGCATAATCCTGTTTAGTTGAGGCTATAATAAAAAAATTCCTAGATTCTCTTCCTTCCTGCCCTGATTTTTTACCCCTGCTCCAATTTTTTAAATTTTTGTTTTTCTTCATTTTAATACTGATAGAGATTGGTAATCAACTTACCATTCAGCTTTCATTTCATATCCCACGAAAGTCAGCATGATTTGAACAACTTTTTTAATTTTTGTTTTCTTCATCTTAATACTGATAGGGATTGGTATTCAACTTACCATTCAGCTTTCATTTCATATCCCACGAAAGTCAGCATGATTTGAACAACTTTTTTAATTTTTGTTTTCTTCATCTTAATACTGATCGGGATTGGTATTCAACTTACCGTTCAGCTTTCATTTCATATCCCACGAAAGTCAGCATGATTTGAACAACTGACAAGATAGTTATTGCTGTAATATGTATTAAACAAGAACCATTTATTGTGAAAGATTGATGATAAGCAGTAAGAGATATACATATTTAAATTGATCTCAACTATATAGCCATAATAGATAAATCTGCAATGATTGATCAGGTCAACAAAATAAAAATATATAATCAAATCCTTGATTTTTCAAAAATTTCAGAGAGAATATAGGAATTTTTTATTATGACCTTATTAGCCAACTTTTATTTGTCTGGATATTTAATTGATATTCAAAAGATAATCACTGCCTGATCCCAAGTGAGGGTGACGTTCTCTACAAAGTGCTAGCCATAATCAAAAATTTACTGAGGCCCAAGATCACCGAGCCATCAAATTTTTGAATTTTGTTTCTTATCCTACCTTTAAATGGTTTTCCATCAATAAACCACTCCACATTTGGTGAAGGGATGCCTTCTGCTTCACAATTTATAGAGGCTGATTCACCAACACTAACTCGTGTATCAACTGGTGGAATTTTCCAGCTAGGTTTTGCTGTTAAAATAACAAAGTTAGCTAATTAATCTGTTGAAATGATAAGAAAAACAATGCACACAAGCACTTGAGACATTTTTTTTCAATTTTCATACATGCTCATGCATTCTACAATCTTATTTTTATTAGCAAAATGAATCATACAAAAAATCTCTATTCACTGTTGTATTTGGAATGGGAAGGGTAATATTAGTTACAGAGTTTTGTAGTGACAGGGCACGGGATGATACCTGGTTAGTAAAATTTCATACCTGGCGAGGTGAGGTATGAAATTTACTTACCATGCAGGTATCATCCCGTACCCTATCACTCCAAAACTATGTAACGAATTTACCCCACCAATAAACATTTATGCATTGTCTGAGGTTTGTAAAATTGTTTTTCTCACTATATTATGTTTCATAACTCATACAAGGACTATTATGATGTCATGTTGTGTTATGTAATCTTGTTTTGCGAGTGTTTTGTGCTGTAATAATGTAATGACAGTTTTGAAGACTTTCAGTAAAGGGAGGAAAAGGTTCCATCTCGTTACTTACATTAATTAACTGTTAAATTGTCAACAGACACTCAGCAAACCTTGTGAACTCGAGTTTTCGAACGTTACAAACGAACGATAACTCTGTATCGACCATGTATTGATTTTCAAGTGACTAGGTATAAGTAATACATCCCCTTCACGTGACAGAGTTCAACCAATCGTAAGCCAGGATTTCATTGAAATATCATTAGAGGTGGGGTAATTTTCTAATCATGACAAAAAAGGGAAAATAATAGAAAGGTGTAAGGTGAATAGAATTTGATACTGGAGGATATATGAAGTCCATAATTGTATCCATACTTTCTAAAGAAAATTTGTGTATATGTTATATTATACATGCATGTACTTGATGGAAGTTGAACTGTTCAAAATTCCCTTGGTCATTGCACACTATTTGAATTGATTATTGTCCCCCACTTTCACTGAAAGTGGGGGATATTAGTTTGGGTCTGTCTGTCTGTATTTCTGTCTGTCTGTAACACTTTCGTTTCCGCGCGATATCTTGAGAACCCTTTGAGCTTTCGCAATGAAATTTTGCATAGCAACTCCCTATGGACTAAAGAAGAACCTTATTAATTTTGAGGTCAAAAGGTCAAAAGTCAAGGTCATAAATTCATAAATTCTGTCTGTTTTAACACTTTTGTTTTCCGCGCGATATCTCACAAATTCTTTAAGCTTTTGCAATGAAATTTTACATAAAAACTCCCTGTGGCCTAAGGAAGACCTCTATTGATTTTGAGGTCAAAGTTCAAGGTTGTAAATTCACAAATTCCGTCTGTGTGTAACACTTTCGTTTCCGGGCGATATCTCAAAAAGCTTTTGAGCTTTTGCAAAGAAATTTTATACCATAACTCCCTATTGCATCTCTCGCCCCTCTCAAAGTGTCCCGCCCTGTTTTTCTTTTAATTTATTGTATATTTAAAAGTCACTTGGCACTATTTTTAGCACAGGGGCATGTGGAGAGTTATTACATATGATACAGGTTGTCAGTCCACTTTATATTCTAATTACATGTATTAGAACTGTTAAGTAAAGGCTAAATTAGACAATATGTAATGTGTAAAATTTTGACAACATCAAACATGAATATAAACATTATATGTGACCTAATGTTTGCATTTAATCAGACTTAACTCAATGTGAGTCATATTATGGAAATGAGTAGATCAACTTCTTGTTACATAGTCAAAAAAAGCATAACTCTTACCACATTATCATTACTGACTTTTGTGTGTGACCTAGTGTTTGCCTTTAATTTGCTGTATAATCAAGTGCCTCCGTGGTCTAGGGGTATGTTGCTCGCTTAGCAAGCGAGAGGCCCAGGTTCAATCCCTGATCGATTCTATTTTTCTTCTTTTAATGGGTTTTTTTTTAGGATTTACTAAATGATAGGCCTACTATTCAACATGTGAAATGAAAAAGTTATGATGTCTGGCTTGTACAAACTCATAAAATCATTATTACAGTGTGATAAATATTCTGTTAAAAATTCTATTAAAAAGAATTTTCTATACACATATTAAAGAATAAGCAATCAAATCTTTATATCCATATTGGCTTTTTTTTAATTTGCTTCAAAATACATGTATACATTTAATAATTCTACAAATACAGGGGGACAGTGTGACCCCTCCCCCCCCTCCCGAACTGCGCATGCTCTTCTTTTTTCCCTAAGTGGGGGGCAAAAATTCTCTGAATTAGCTTGTATAGTGATTGTCAATGGGAGTTCTATCTCAACTAATTTACTTCTGTGATATTCATTTTAAACTTGCATAAACATCCACCATAAAATAAACTATGTCATTTTTCTGAATGAATCTAATTTTGATTACTGAGGCCAATGTTTGTTTGTCTTCTCCCGACTCAGGATGAAAAAGTTGGGTCGGTAGGTAGATGTCAATTTTTTTCCTCAGAAAATTTGAATTTCAATGCTGAATTTTCAAAATCTTTTGTCCATAATGCATAAAAAATAATTGCTTCCTAGAGGTTAAAAAAGTTTTGGGTCGGGCCACCATTCTTAGCCAGTCGGTCTGGAGAGGGCAACCAAACAATTTTTTAAAGATGGCCTTACATGTAAGTTAATGCAATTATATTTTATTAAACTTACTTTAAATATTATAATTTGATCAAAGTAATATTGATTTATACAGAAGCAAGAAAGTTTGAAAATTGTCCAAACAGACCTCATTTGCCACACAGCGACACCTATAAACACTGGCAGCTAGGGAAAGGACTATATTTGATATTAACCAATATTTGCCCCCAAATCAAACTTTGATGGAGAAATCTAAAATTATGTTCTAAACAAGGGGGATTTCTGCAGACTTCAAAGCATTAAATATTTTCATCAGCCATGACACCATATGTTAAATAATGGCATCAGCAAAATGACGTAAATTCAAAATTTCCATGATGAAAAAGGCTTATATAATGTCAATATTTTGAGTAAAAATCTGCTCCAGGTCAATGTTTTGATATAATGTGTAGAATGATATTTATTTTTAATATTGTTTTATACAAAGATAGTTAAAACTTCTTTGAATTGTGACATAACGTATTTTCTCCAACTTGCCTGTTCAATGCTGTCGTAGTTTGACTCTGTCGTTAAACACATAAATACGGTAGTATACAACAACTATATTTAGGGAAAATACCCGAAATCAAACAATAATCATTTTTTTTAGAACATTTTGGGCACATTCTTTTATTCCGACATTATTTACCTGGGGTACAATATTAACTACGATGACTGCCATTTTTATATTTCTTGTCCAGGGATTTGATAAAACACGCATATGACTATTACTGGTACATGTAACAGTGAGCAACTGAAATTATTAACATGCTATAATTTTGCTTGAGATATTATTGTAAAAAATAAATTTAATTGAGAGTACAATCACAATTTAACAGTCATCATGAATTTCACAGTTTTGTTTGTTCAATGATGTATAGCACTAATACCCCTGTAACGGAACGTGGATCTGTTAATCATGCCCCGCAGGTGTTTAAACCAACACAGGTGTTAACACTTTTGTGTACACAGTGTACATCCCTTTATCTGTCAGACAATTAAAATTCTATTAGAAGCCAATCTTTGTATAATTCAGTTTACCCCTTGGGATATTAAATAAAATAGTTATGACTAGCGGTATATTTGGTAAATAATTTTAGGAATTTACTGGCAACAAGTTATTTCACTCATCTGACATTTAAATAAATATCATAAGACAATGAAAAAATATTTAGGTATACTATTTCAATTAATCGTTACAAAAAAATGGTTAAAAAAAAAAGATTGTAATTGTGAAAACTCTCCAAAAAAAGTATTTTTAACTTTGATACGGTTGCGGTTTTATTTTTAGTAAACGATTGCAACTTCCAACTTCACAAGATGGACACAGCATGTTGTAAATATACTTTGAGACATTATTTACTAGATGATATAATAAGTTTTTTTGTACATCGCGGATATTTAATGGAATTTATTTTGTAAGAAATCAATGGAATAAGTATTTAATTCTTTGTTGTTTATTTTTTTTTTTCTTGGTAAAATAATTTTTAAAAATACGAAAATGGCACAGATTTGCTTTAAAATTGACGTAAATTTTACTGATTTTGGACATTTTTTTTGTAAACTTGAGCCTTAGATAGGTCGATTTGTTAAATAGGACGACCCCAGCGGTTCTGAGAAAAAAGTATTGTCCTATCTCCCAAAAATTACGGTACAAAATATTTTTTGTCAGTAGTAGTATAGATTCAATTCCCCGCGCTTGCACGGGATTTTATCTAGTGTCCCATAATAAATTTCAGTGTGAGAAAGGTTTATATGGTTTTCATTTGCATAAATTGTATTAAATTATTTTTAAAATGCAGAATTGAATTTAAAAGACGTAAAAAGATAATATAACCTTCAGATATAGAATTAAAACAATTAATATCTTTAAAAGTATAGATTTATTATGGAGAAAAAGTGACGTCTATTAAAAAATGCAGCATTTTCAACTGCAGTTTTTTGTAAAAACGGATGTGGCCACACTTTTGTAAGGATATTTTTTCTCTTTAATATTAAAAATCTAGTTATATTTGTTCTTTCTGTGAAGTTTCGCTTACACACTCGGATGCGGCCATATTGAAATATACATGTAGATTTGAAGAGGAGGAAAACGTCAAAAATAAGGGAATTCTGGAATATTAGACTGGTTTTGAATGTTATATAAATGAGAGGGCGCTCGAGTTGAGAAAAATTGTTACCCATTTCACACACAAGGAAACCTAAACAGTAACTTGATACATTTGATAAAATGTAAACCTGCATCTAATTTTTGCCGATTTTACAAGGCCGATTATTGGGCTTTCTTCAAAAAACACAATATTTGCTATATATATATATATATATATATATATATATATATATATATATATATATATATATATATATATATGTATATATATATAATTATGTATATGCCAAATTTCATGTAAATGGTTGTCAAAATTTTAAGATATTTGCATTTAAATATGCCAACGTGACAATTTTGTCAATATTCTGAAACAACTCGATGAGTACTGAGCTTACTGCTCACTTAAAACAAGTCAGCACACAAAAGGTTAATATTATATAAATAGTGCACGTTTTTGAGTGTAACAGTTGAAATTGACACCCCAAGGAAAACCATTGTCAACCGACACATCAGCGGAGGTTGACAATGGTTTTCCGAGGGGTGTCAATTTCAACTGTTATCCTCAAAAACGTGCACTATTTATTTTATTATACTGAATGTCTTATTCATTTCGGATGTCATAAAAAAAATTCGGAGATCGTCATTAAGTTCACGCTTAAAAAGCTTTCAAACTCCCCGCTTCTATTTTTCTCAATAAGAAAGCTTCGGAAAAGATTTACCAACCTCTTTGTTTGTTTGCTACTCAAAAAGTCCTTTATCATCAAAAGTTTGCATTCGCAAGGATGTTTTGTCTGTCGTTTGTTGTTTTCAAGTAAGCTACATCAGACGAAACTTTTATTGACGTCGTTTATTCGGCTTCTTTCAAACGCACAACCGACGTTTTGAGAATTCTACGGTGAACCGTACGTGCATGATTTGAACGCATGTGACATTTTCATAATGTTACCCGTTGTCAAGCATGTTGCTAACGCTGAGGGTAACATTACGGATTGTTAAATGCGTCTAAACCAATCAGATTTTAGTATTTAACATGAAAGTATAATAATTGAAATAAGAGAGGATATTCAATGTTTTGTAGTTGGATATGGAATTTATTTCACGAGTGGGACAGGTTTTTTTTGTAATATTTTCATGAATGCAAAGCACGAGTGAAAATATAAAAAACAAGAGGCCCATGGGCCACATCGCTCACCTGAGTAACTTTGGCCATGCTGTTCTTTACCAGATTTCCACCCTTTTAATATACCTATTGTGGCCCCACCCTACCCCCGGGGGTCATGATTTGAACAATTTAGAATCTACACTACCTCAGGATGCTTCCAAATAAGTTTCAGCTTTATTGGTCAAGTGGTTCTTGAAAAGAAGATTTTTAAAGATTTTTCTTATATATTTCAATGTAAAACTTGGATTCCCTACTGTGGCCCCGCCCTACCCCTGGGGGTCATGATTTGAACAATTTAGATTCTACACTACCCCAGGATGCTGCCATATAAGTTTCAGTATTTCTGGCCCAGTGGTTCTTGAGAAGAAGATTTTTTAAGATTTTTCTTATATATTTCAATGTAAAACTTGGATTCCCTATTGTGGCCCCGCCCTACCCCCGGGGGTCATGATTTGAACAATTTATAATCTACACTACCCCAGGATGCTTTCATATAAGTTTCAGCTTTTCTGGCCCAGTGGTTCTTGAGAAGAAGATTTTTTAATGACCCCACCCTATTTTTGTCTTCTCTTGATTATCTCCCCTTGTGAGGGGACTTGGCCCTTCATTTTAACAATTTAAATTCCCCTTCACCCAAGGATGCTTTGTACCAAGTTTGGTCAAAATTGGCCCAGTGGTTCTTGAGAAGAAGTCAAAAATGTGAAAAGTTTACAGACGGATGGACAGACAGACAGACGGACAGACAGACGGACGGACGGACGACGGACAAAATGTGATCAGAAAAGCTCACTTGAGCCTTCGGCTCAGGTGAGCTAAAAATCCTGTCTCAGGAGTGAAATAAATTCTATATCCAACTATTGAATTTTCTGTTTATTACATTTTCTTTGATTTTCCCTGTGCCCCTGTCTTTTGTTAACACAGTGTCATAGGCTTTGACGTCATAGTTGAGCGGTTGAGACGTCATAGCTTAGTAAGATTGAAAACACTGTAACATGGATTTTAGCAATATATTTGGGGAGAAATTGGCAGTTTTAGTCTCTATCAAGACGGTTTAGTTAATATCTCTATCTTATAACAGACCAGAAATTATTTTTACTTACTTTGATATCCTTTCACACTGTGAGAGAATATCACTTTGGTATCCTTTCACACTGTGAGAGAATATCACTTTTATTCAGTAAATAAATCACAGTATTTCACTGTTGAAAATGTAATCTTTATCATATACTTAGTAGTAAATACACCGATTCTGCACTGTGCGATACGGGTGACGTCACTATACCCCATATCAAGGACCGGTCCGAAAATCCACATCACATATCGGACCGGCGGGCAAAAATCCATATCAAAGCGGAAGTAACATTTGTTTAAAGATAAAAAGTTAATTATAGTAACTTGATTTTATTTAAATACACGTAAAATATCTGTGGACTTAATTTGTTTTCAAAGACCTAAAATTTGCTTTATTAGATTTTAAAGAAAAAGGTCATAAACATGCAAGAAACATTCTTCAATGATTTTATGTGAACTTGCATATTAAGTATTTTAAATATATGATAAATAGAATACTACATACTGAAATCCATATCATATGTCATATCAGCCCTCGGGCCCCATATCAGCTCTCAGGCCTTCAGCCCTTGGGCTGATATGGGGCCACTTGGGCTGATATGACATATGATATGGATTTTAGTATGTAATATTCTCTATTTATCAACAATTTGGTAACACATACTATAAAAAGAAAAACAAAAGAATAAAACATTGATTGGGATATACTGATTGTTCATTTAATACTGAGTCAACACTAACTTAGGATACTTTCATATATAAATATGATTAATCATGACCTTGCTGTTCTTTAGATGAAGAATAAATTTAGTTATTTTCTTATGAATTCCTTTGTAAAACTTTGCTTGCCCAAAACACCCCACCCTAACCCCTGGGGTCATGATTTGAACAAAATTGAATCTACACTTCCTGAGGATGCTTCCATGCAAATATAATTAATAATGACTTTGTTGTTCTTGAAAAGAAGAATTTAAAAAAATATTATGCATTCCTTTGTAAAACTTTGACTGCTTATAGTAGCCCCATCCTACCCCTGGGGGTCATGATTTGAACAAAATTGAGTCAACACTACCTGAAGATGCTTTCATAAAATATGATCATTCATGACTTTGCTGCTCTTTAGAAGAATTTAAAAAAAAAAGAAATTCTTATGTATTTCTCTGTCAAACTTTGATTGCCCCCAGTGGCCCCACCTTATTCTCGGGTGGCATGATTTGTCCAAAACTTGAAACTCCACTACCCAAGAAAGCTTTTCACATAAGTTTCATTATTTCTGGCTCAGTTGTTCTTAAGATTTTTAAATTACCCCACCCAATTTTCACTATTTCTTAATTATCTCCCCTTGGAAGAGGGTGTGGTCCTTTATTTGTATAAACTTAAATCCCCTTTACCCAAGGATACTCTGTGATAAGTTCAGTTGAAATTGGTTCAGTGGTTCTGGACAAGACGAAATGTGAAAAGTTAATGACACAAACAATGATGACAATGACAACAACAGACACAAACAAATTTTGATCAGAAAAGCTCACCTGAGCCAAAGGCTCAAGTGAACTAAAAAGGACTTGCTGAAAATAGGACAAATTAAATGATGAATGGATTCAGGTACATAGTTGAAATATTAAAGTAATTACTGTTTTGCCATGAAATCTTGGAAGTGAATTAAGCTAAACTCTAAAATCTTGACACCTTGGATATCTATTTTCTGATAGTTCTATGGATGTGAAGATACCATAGTTTCCTATGGTTTGTATACAGATTAAACACTTTTTCATAGTTTACCTTGTACATTCAGAGTAAATGTCACATTTTGTGGTTTATCTGTAACAGGATTTTTTCCAGAGCAAACATAAATGCCTTTGTCATTAAACTGCACAGAGTTGATAACAAGTTCATGTCCTTCTGAGAGCATCGTTGATGGTCTCCCTTCCTTGTGCCACAAAATTTTAGGTACTGGACTGCAATTAACAATAATGAAAAAAATATTGTGATTTGAGTTTTATGTTAAAGATCATTTTCTATTGATAGAGAAGATGAAAGCAGGGTTTATCACTATGATTCCCATCCATTACCTCTCAAACAAATCAAATATTAAAAACATCACTTCAATGAATGTTGTCTAGAGGCAAGGTAAAGTCTCTTATGTTCAATATTATGTATTGTTACAACGCAAAATGTAATTACAACACAAAATGTAATTTTATTGCATTTTGCATTATTACATTTTGCGTCAATATTATAGCAGAATGTAATAATGCAAAATGTAAAAACAGACTTTTTAGGATTATTACATTTTGCGTAATTATACATTCAACATCGAGATCAACGCAAAATATAATAACGCAAAATGTAATAACACAGTTTTCAGATTATTACATTTTGCATTGAGATTAAGCAAATTGCAACAACGCAAAATGTAATAACACACTTTTTGGTCAGTCAGATTGAGAATGATTTTAAATTGAGTAGTGGATGAAGAAAATACACGGAAAGAAATAAAACAAAAGGAAAAATTAGCGTATGATCATTCTTACATTAGATCTGATTTCATCATATATTGATTTCATTAGCCAATGTATTTAAATCAGTTGATACTCAAATCATATGTGTTGCAAGTTAGAAACGCATGTGTGTGTGGGGGGGGGGGGGGGGATTTCATTGATCAGTGTATCAGTTTGCTTTTGCTTTTTGATAAGCACTAGCATTAAATTTAGAAAAGAAATCTATTTATTTTTACTGGCAGGTGTAAATATAGTGGGAAGGGGTTTCTTGACAATTAAGATTTCATACTAGCTATTTTACAAATCATGTACATTGCAGACCAGCAAAAATAAAATTCTCTCTCTCTCTCTCTTCAATAATAAAATGGATAGTTTCTGCATGCGCATAAAAATACAATGATCAATATATTAAGTTATCCCTACCCCCAACTTTTCCTCGTAAGACACACACACGTACTTCTGATTTGCTAACCAATTTAGAATGACAGTGATGGATATATAATACAGACTGATTTATAAGTAGACATGTCAATCAAAGTTAAGTTAATGTTTTATAAAAATTCAATTAAGATGTTAGAAACAGAGTTAAAAAAAAATAATATACAATTAGTTTTAATAATGTCCCTGAAAGCTGTAACGTTTGTCTCATAGTCAAAGGTCTGTCTGTCTATTCAGTAAAGCGAGTTTATATGTCGAAATCAATTTTGTGATGATTCTCGCTGAACACAATACAAAAAAATATTTATATTTTGTTTTATTACATTTTGTTTTATTAAATTTTGCATTGTCCTCAATGCAAAAATTAAACAACGCTAAATGTTACAACCAAAAAGTGCATTAATATTACATTTTGCGTTAATCCCGATGCAAAATGTAATGACTCAAAGTGTAATAATCCAAAAATCGTGTAATTAAATTTTGTGTTACTACAATCTGTGCAAAATGTAAAAATGCAAAATGTAATAATCCCAGTTTATTACATTTTGTGTTGTTATTACATTTTGCATTGTAACAATGCATATCATACAGAAACTTCAAAAAAATAATTCAGAGAATTTGTGTCCCCGGTTAAAGGAAAAACAACAAGAGGCTCATGGGCCACAATGCTCACCTGAGTCAATATGGCCCTGCTGTTCTTCGTTAGCAGATAATTCATATGTAAAGCTTTGATCACCTGTTCTAGGCATACCCTACCCCCAGGTGCCATGTTTTGAATGAAATTAAATCTAAACTTTCTTAGGATGCTTCTATATTCATATAACTAATTATGGCTTTGCTGTTCTTGAAAACAGAATTTTAAAGATGTCTGCCACCCTAGCTGGGGGAGGGGGGGGGGGGGTCATGATTTAAACAAACTTGAATCTACACTACCTGAGGATGCTAATCATGATTAATCATGGCTTCGTTGTTCTTCATCAGAAGATTTTTAAAGATATTTCCTATATGTGTTCCTTTGTAAAACTTTGATCCCCCATTATGGCCCCAGACTACTGCTGGAGAATGCCTTGAACAAACTTGAATCTACAATACTTGGGGATGCTTCAATTTCAATATGACTAATCATGGCTTTCCTGTTCTTGAAAAGATTTTTTAAAAAGATTTTCCCTATACGTTCCTATGTAAAAATTTGACCCCCCATTTTGGCCCCACCTTACCGCCAGTGATCAAGATTTGAACAAACTTGAATCTGCACTACCTGAGGATGATTCCATATCAATATGACTAATTGTGGCTTTGTTGTTCTTGAGAAGAAGATTTTTCAAGATTTTTTTCTATATATTCCTATGTAAAACTTTGATGCCCCACTGTGGCCACATCCTACCCCCGAGGGTCATGATTTAAACAAATTTGAACTACACTACCTGAGGATGATTCCATATCAATATGACTAATTGTGGATTTTTTGTTCATGAGGAGAAGATTTTTAAAGATTTTTCCTATATCTTCCTATGTAAAACTTTGACCCCCCATTGTGGCCCCACCCTACCACCCAGGGGTCATGATTTTAACAAACTTAAATCTACACTACCTGAGGATGTATATCAATATGACTAATTGTGGCTTTGCTGTTCTTGAGAAGAAGATTTTTAAAGATTTTTCCTATATACTCCTATGTAAAACTTTGATCCCCCATTGTGGCCCCACCCTACCCCAGGGGGTCATGATTTGAACAAACTTGAATCTACACTATGTAATGAAGGTTTCACGTAAGTTTCAACTTTTACAGCCCAGTGGTTCTTGAGAAGATTTTTAAGAGATACCACCAAAATTTCACTTATTCTTAATTATTTCCCCTTGAAAGAGGGTGTGGCCCTTCATTTGAACAAACATGAATCCCCTTTACCCAAGGATGCTTTGTGGGAAGTTTGGTTGAAATTGGCCCAGTGGTTCTGGAGAAGAAGTCGAAAATGTGAAAAGTTTACAGACGGACGGACAGACAGACAGATGGACAAAATGTGATCAGAAAAGCTCACTTGAGCCTTCAGCCCAGGTGAGATAAAAAGGGTGGAAAATTTTTTTAAAAAATATGCAGATGGAAAAGGGAGCAAGATGTGTTTGTGAAACTCTGATGCCCCCATATGACAACTTTGTTACAAATTCTCAAATGCAAGTCAAACTCCAAGATCAATGTCAGGGGGTCAATAATGTTGGTATCTAAAGAAATCTTATTAAGAAATACACATGTGAAAAATGAAAGAAAAGTGAGCAATTTCACATACCCCACGCTCCCCCAAAACTCAACAATGCAACACGTAATGAATGGCACAGTGCATTTTAAATACACAGTATAATTCAAAAAGGGGCATTACTTGCAAAAAATCATCACATCAAAACTTCTTGCATATAAGGACATTCAAATCTTTGTATGTTACAAATCTAATTGGCTAAAGTTTCTAGATAAATAATGGAATCAAAATTTCTTGGTAATATACAAATCTATACATTATGTCTGAAATACCTACAAAGTTTCAGGAAATTCAGTGCAGGAGTTATGCTGACAAACTGTTATTTAAATTCCTCAGTGATTTCAATTTGTTAATGAGTGCAAGTCCATGTCAAACACATGACAATTTACATATTTAAATAATTGATGGAAACAAAATTATGAAGTCATATGAATTTGTTTATATACTGTACTTATGAAATTATTTAAGGCAAAGCACCAATTTGAGGAGGGGGGGGGGTGAGAACTATCCAAGATTTTGTGTGTGTGTGTTGAATCATTAAATAAATATTCTGATCTCAAAATCAATGGGGTCTTTTAAGGTCATAAAATATTTCATGTAAAATTTCATTACAAAAGCTGATTCCAGTGGATTTCCTTATTACCTAGCTGGGTTTCTTCAATAATAGGAATACTCTTAAGGCAAAAATAATGGAATTGGAATTTTCTGGAAATATGCACATCTACACATTGTGCTCTAAATATCTGCAAAGTTTGACCAAATTCTGTGCAGCGGTTTAAGAGGAGTTGTGCCAACAAACTGTTCATCTCTATATTCAAGATATGGCCAAAAATCTAAGTTGTAAAGTGCGGAAATTCCCAGAAAAATAATGGAATCAGAATTTCTTGGTAATATGCACATCTACACATTGTGTGCTTAATATCTGCAAAGTTTGACCAAATTCTGTGCAGTAGTTTAAGAGGAGTTGCGCTGACAAACTGTTCATCTCTATATTCAAGATATGGCCAAAAATCTAAGTTGAAAAGTGACGAAATTCCCAGAAAAAATAAAGGAATCGGAATTTCCTGGTAATTTGCACATCTACACATTGTGTCCTAAATATCAGCAAAGTTTGATGAAATTCTGTGCACTGGTTTTGAAGGAGTTGCGCTGCCAATAAAACAGGACTGACTGATGGGTCAAAAACATTATACCCCCCACAACTTGTTGTTTGGGGTATAATAAGTGGTAGTCCTAGTTATTAACCATTCAAAAGTAATGGCCAAGCTAGGTCAGTTTTTTTCCCAGAAGGTCACACTCCAAGAGGTCATAAATGTTGGTATCCAAGGGAAGGTATTGTCACAAGGAATAAATGGGGAATATAAAAGCCCTGGCACAACCATTCAAAAGTTATGGCCCAGGTTAAAGAAGGTAAAACTCTAAAGTCAATTTAAACAAAGTCACCTGAATTTAGGTTACCTGAATATAACCTTGTAAAGGATTCACGGAATGGTATCAAACTAAATTGAAACTCAAAAAAAAAATTTAAAAAATGAGAGAATTAAGTTGGTCAAGGATAATAAAAGAGTTAGTTTGTTATCAGTCACAAATCAGAAACTTGCCTGTATATATGCTAGTGCGATCTACACTCCATTATAATATCACCATACACAACAAAATAATAGTACTTTATCATAACACACAGTACTCACACCGTATATTAAAGCTATTAACCAGTGTCAAGGTCTTTGAATAAAGGACAGGTTTCCATAAGGCTGTTTTTTGGCCCAT